GGTGAACCGGCGTAAACAGTGGATAAGATAGAATAGGTGGTCAGGAAGATTTTGCTATCTAATTGTAAGCTATTAAAAATCGAATGTCCCAGTGTTTTGCCAATAGGGACGAAGGCTTCTGTGTGAGTGACATTATGAAATAACCTTCAAAATTGCAACAAGTTATTGGAAAAAACGGAGCACAGTACACATAAAACAGATTATAATAATTATGCTAAAAAAACATTCAACTTAATTGAAAAATAATGGATTTCTTTTTTGAAAACCGTATAGTGCACTATTATTTTCTAGGCAAAATGTTCCGTGAGTTTCATTAATCTCAATCTTTTTATGTCCTTTTTTCTACTCATGAATATGATTCATTAAGCCTATTCGGGTTTGCGGTCTACTTACTTAACTTAACAATCGATAAATCCAGTAATATAAGAAGTATTGACACAGAACTTAGTATATTGACACTTTTCCTCCTACAACAGACGAAGTAGGTTCAGATTTTCCAATGTCTTGGGACGCTCCAATTAATATTATACCGCATATAGTAATCAGTATGCAGGAGATGTTGAGATGAGCATGTTACTTTATGTATGGTAGAACTTTTATTACATAATCAGATTAAGCGATATTGCAGAAGCTGCTCTGATAATATATTCTGTAGTACGAATAACACTGCGAATTCATTTATTTCAAAATTCTTGACCATAAGACTAAACATTTCCAAAATGCTAAAATTAACTCAAAACTTTATATTCTAGCATTAATAGTAATTTTCACTGAGAAAACTACAAGGTTCTAAATTTTTGGTATTTTTATACGTGTTCGTGTTAATGATACACCCGAGGCAACAGAAATTGCAGGCTAAAATAATCAAATGGAACTTAAAATTACCAATAAAACTAGCAAGAACATACTTATACAAGCTGCGAACAACATTATCCGTACAATAACAGCAAAGAAATATAAACGAACGAAGGATGAAATTGAAATTAATACAACAACACTACTGCATTGTGGGTGAGAGCAGCACACACCAGTAAAGCAACAATATGAACTCAACAATAATTGCTTTGAGCCACCCACAGACACACCAACTGGCCAAGCACCTGTGCGCCCAGCCTTAACCGTTTCTACGCCTTCTCTTCCTGTCGGTTAGCTCGCTCGTTCCACCACACACGCAATCAATGCTTTCACTTGTAGTGAGCAAGACGAGGTAAAAATGTTTAGAGCAGCCACAAACTACGGTATAGAGTTGAGAGTAGCGATAGAGCGGATGGCAAGCAAATTATTTCCACAAAACGTGCAACGGCTGCTTGCCAAACTGCGAATAAGTGAATATTCTAGTGAAGAAGAGTACGCGCACTAACAACCACACATAATTACAGAGTATGTAGGTATATGTGACCATATATCAGGCGCACGTGACTACCACGTTTTCTGGCATATCAGAAAAGTGTCTACCTCAAAAAGCGGAGCGAAAACAATGGAGTCCTTTGTTCCCTTCGCTCCTGCTACACCTCAACAACCACAATCACTTTGAGTCAGTGTGAGATTGTGCCGCCAACTAACCGACTAACCTACTGACTTCAGGTTGCATCTGCCCAACAAACGCCATGCACACGTGCAACTCCGCATTTACGAGCTGTATGTGCAACATATTTTATAGTGAAGCCAGGCACAGAAGATATGATTATGTGTAAAACTCAAATGTACTCCAAAGTAGCAAGAGTGCAGTGTGGAGTGTGCTTGCATAAATTGGGTGGATTTTAGTGCCACTATTATTTAATAAATTATCTATTAATATTTGATATGCGCAAAGTAAAATTGCCAATATGAGCAGTTACCTTAAGTAGGTGAGTGGTTGGACAAATTTGGGGCAGATTAAATGGATTTAAAACTCATAAGTGTTGCAGAAAGTTGATATTTGCTCTTCTGTTTTGTTTATTATACCCTGAGCAGGGTATATCAGCAGCTTGAGGAAAGAAGAACGTGTGCAAAATTACAGATCGACAACTAAAATCTGAGGGATATGGCAAACTTAATATACCCTGTTCAGAGAATAAAAATATGTCGATATGTATGTTGACTAAGTGGCACGTGTAAGCAGTTTCAATAATCATATAAGGTTTTATATGTAGTGCTGTTGCATTATACCCAATTTTATTAAATTTCTTAATATTTTATTGAATTCTGATTAACAAATTTTATTTTTAGTATTTCATATTAAAAATCTTGAATTTAATTGTAAATATAATAGTTGTTTGCTTAATAACAACCGACACTCTATAAATTGAACTCTAAAGTCTGTTAAATATAAGTACTTTTTAAAAATTTAAAATGTATTTGCCACAAATATTATAAAACAATTTTCTCATTTCAGCACTTCAATTCCAGTGATCATTGGTGAGTATTTCCTAAAACCCAATGCAAGTAAATTTCTGTGCAAATATATATGACCACACTATAATACATCAATATACTATATGTAGCCATTTATACATTTATACATTGCTATATTGCATAAAAGTAATATCGTTTCAATGGAAAATGTCTAAATTTGCGCGAATAATTTTTAACGCCACAAATATTTTACTTTTCATTTTTCTAAAATATGATTTACTATTTAATATGCCGTTGATAACGGGGCATAGTTTCGTTGTCTACCAAAATATTTCTAATATTCAGTTACCTTTTGAATGCACACATATTTGTATACGTATGCATGTGTATGTATGTGTAAGTCATGTTTTTGGTATGTGTTTTATTATTTACGCTCGGAAAAAAGGAATAGTAAAAAATTGCCAATTCACGCTAAACGCCGGTGGGATGCAATTATTTATGCACTGGTGAGCATGCATGTTAACATATCAACATATATAAACCTATAGTGTTATGCAGGCACATCGAAAAGCTTTGTGAATTTTACATTGCTATGACAACGCCAAAAATAATATTTAATTGAATTCTAGTATCTTTCCTTGTGAACGCTTTACCTTCCTCATTTCCAAATAAATAACTGTAAAGCAATTTTGGTGGAAATTAAAATCGGTAAAAATATATCGGCAAAACAACCAGTGGGTAATTTAAATCACAAATGGCTTAAAAACATTAAATAAATAATTGAAAAATTTAAATTATTTTCGTAAATATTTACGTTTACAATTTGGCATACAATTTGTATTCTTGTGCTTGATGCTTTATTCTAAATATTGACGTTGAGAGATTTTTATGATGTAGATCGAAGAGAAGCCTCGTAGATACTCTCTTTTGATTTATCATTTTTTATTTAACCCAGTAGAGGTAATCATTATTTCTCAAAAATTTGATCAACTTGATAAACACCAGTTTACATCGCTGTAAAAATTTGATTTTTTGTATTTTTTTCGACAGATTGGTGTCTTCTAGTGTCAGTCACTGGTTTAACATTTGGTTTAAACATTCGGAACTATCTACTACTAAAAACCAGAAAAAACGTTAATTTCGGTTGCACTAAAGCTATAATACCCTTCACAAATACAAAAAGTTCCTTAGAATAACTTGATTCCGATCGTTCAGCTTGTATGACAGCAATATGCTTTAGTGACTCGATCTGAACAATTTCTTCGAAGATTCCATTATTACTTTAGATAATGATTCTGTACAAATTTCATGAAGATATCTCGTGAAATGAAAGCGTTTTTCATACGAGCACTTGATTCCGATCGTTCAGTTTGTATGTCAGCTATATGCGATAGTGGTGCGATATCGGCTATACCGACAAATGTTCAGCTTCTTGATGAGAAACGGTCATATACTAAATTTAAGATCGATATCTCAAAATCTGCGAGACTAGTTCGCTTATATGCAGACGGACGGACCGACAGACGGACATGGTTAATTCAACTCAGCTCATCATGCTGATAATTTATGTATTTACTTGATAGGGTCTCCGACGTTTCCTTCTAGGTGTTACAAACTTCGTAGCAAACTTAATATACCCTGTTCAGGTGTATTTCTAACTCTGCGCCCCATATACTTTGACCGATATTAGCCGGTTGTACGCCTATTAACAATTTGGTTGGTCTTAAGTCAATTTTAGTTCTAAGATATTTAATTGTCTATACTATCCGAAGTTCACGTCTTCTGAATATCTTCTAGTTTATCTTCTAACTTCAGTCTTACACTATTGGTCCATCAGTTTATGAGTGCAGACGTGGTGCTACGTCCGCGTGAATAGTGAGTCGATAATTGTAGCACAGAATATGGTATCTTAAAACAAGTTAACATTTACCGCTGATTTCGGAAAGTGTATTTATAATAACATTACTTGATATTGCGAGAGATAGTTCAGCTGTCAGTAATTCTGTTACCAGAGGAATTTCCCTATAGAAAGCCGCTTCGTGTACCAGATTATTTAGTCGACCTCCTCTTGCTATATACGGAAAACGTGACTGTAACTTAAATAGTAATTTAAAAAAAAACCGATTCCTCAATATCCTCACTTAAGGTCGACATCAATTACCCATTTGTGTTTTACCGCTCTCGGTTTAGAAAAACTTCTTATACAGACATTCCAACAGATTCGAAAGCACCGCGTGAAGTCTCGAGAACACCACAATAGGATTATTGTACCAAGTTTACATGTGTGCTTTGTTATTCTGCTATCAAATCTGAGACACGACTACTGATTTGCATAAAATTCTTTAAAGAAGCGACATTAACCTTAGAGCAAAGCATATCGCAACTCCGCTGTAATTCGCGATATACGACGTATTGTTTTATGAATGAAATCAAATCGAACGCGAAGATAATCAAAGATAGAGAAATAAAAATTAGATTGCCATCCAAACCGAAAAGATGGCAAGCGTTTATTTACTTCTGAACAACAAGGCAACCATGGCTTGAAATGTTGCTAAGCTATTTCGCGCTTCCTGTAGACTATTGATCAAATAGTTTTACATAACTTCGTATAAAGCCGATGTTAAAAACGCATTCGCAACTGTTTAAAACAAATAAATATATTAAACATGAAATTCTTTTTGAAAAAATGTCTACGCAAAAAACCCGAAGAGATGAAACCAGGCGCCATACTGGACGCCGTCATTTCACAATCTTCGCCAACGGCCAACAAATGTCTGCTCTACAAGCTTGCAGACTACAAGCGTGGCGGTGACCTCATTGATGCACTCAACACTGGCGGCCTGGTCGCCGTGGAGCAGCTAATACGCGAACAGTTCGGCATCTTCATGTACAACGATGGCAAAGGACAGGTGATCAATCGCGCCGAATTTCTGCGCTGGAAATATCGTGATCACACAGAGGTAACCATACCGATTGAGGCGTCACTCTCGCGACACGATCCACTCGGCAAGTGGGAGGATCATAAAGCTTGCTGGCAAATGCAGTTTCGTGGCGCACTCGGTGAGAGTCTACTACATGTGCTTATCATATGCGATTCAAAGATACATACGAAGTTGGCGCGTGTACTGATACGCGTCTTTCCAAATCTCGCACAAGATGTGATGGAAGGTGAGGAGTATTTGGGCGCTAGTGCATTACATTTGGCGATTGCTTATAGCAACAATGAGCTCGTGGCCGATCTCATTGAAGCAGGCGCGGACATAAATCAACGTGCAATCGGTAGTTTCTTTTTACCACGTGATCAGCAGCGTCGCAATCCAGCCAAGTCGACGGACTACGAAGGTCTCGCTTACTTAGGTGAGTATCCGCTAGCTTGGGCGGCTTGTTGTGCTAATGAGAGCGTATATAATTTGTTGCTGGATTGCGGGGCTGATCCGGATGCGCAAGATTCGTTTGGAAATATGATACTACATATGGTAGTTGTGTGCGACAAGTTGGTGAGTTCGTTGATTGGTTGGAGTGGCACTTTATAAATAATTTCATATTATCAAGGATATGTTCGGTTATGCGCTGCGTCACCCGAAAACACCAGCCAAGAATGGTATTGCTAATCACAGTGGGCTCACACCACTGACCCTTTCGTGCAAATTGGGCCGCGCAGAGGTCTTCCGCGAGATGTTGGAGCTTTCGGCACGTGAGTTCTGGCGTTACAGCAATATCACCTGCTCGGGCTATCCGCTAAATGCTTTGGATACGTTGCTACCAGACGGACGCACGAGTGAGTTACTGCCAAATTAGATCTTCACCGTTATTTTAAGGATTTTCGTTTTTCCCAGACTGGAACTCAGCGCTTTTTATCATCTTGAACGGCACCAAAGAGGAACATTTGGATATGTTGGATGGCGGTATCATACAACGTTTGCTGGAGGAGAAATGGAAAACATTTGCTCAGAATCAATTCTTAAAGCGTCTGCTCATTCTGCTTGTTCACTTGCTTTGTCTCTCCGTTTCGGTTTATATGCGGCCTGCGCATGTGGCTGACGACGATGAAGATGAGGTAGCTACAAGTGGCATGACTTCGAAAGACGCAAAAACGCGTGAGCTCGCAGAGGAGACGGAAGACGAAGAGTACGATGTGCAGACTATTGTGCGTTATGGCGCGGAGTTTTGTACGATTGTAGGCGTCCTGAGTTATGTCATCTTTCAGCAGGGTGATGAGATAAAAAATCAAGGACTACCAGCGTTTCTGAAACAATTAGTGAGTTTAGTTACTTTGATACTTCACAGAAATTATAGTTAGTCTATTCTAATACCTTCAGACTCATGCACCGGCCAAGGCTATATTTCTTGTTTCTAATCTGATGATTCTCGCTTGCATACCTTTTCGTTTGATGGGCGATACAGACACCGAGGAAGCTATACTTATTTTTGCTGTACCGGGCAGCTGGTTTTTATTAATGTTCTTTGCAGGGTGAGTGGTCTTGATGACCCATAATTTGTTGGTTTCATCAAAAAAATATACTTTCTCTGTCAAAACGTCTTTTCCCAGTGCTATTCGTCTGACGGGACCTTTTGTAACCATGATCTACTCTATGATAACCGGTGATATGTTCACATTCGGCATTATATACTGCATTGTTTTGTGTGGCTTTTCTCAAGCTTTCTATTTTCTCTACAAAGGGCATCCGCAGATTCAATCGACTATGTTCAACACCTTCCCGAGTACATGGATGGCATTGTTTCAGACAACACTTGGTGATTATAATGTAAGTTAGTTAGAAGTTAATAGATTATTTTGTGGTACATTTTTGTAGTATAACGTAGCCGTTAATACCTTTTTAGAAACCTTAGTTAAAAACCTGTAAACGGAGTATTTGTTCTGAAGCTCGAAGTTTTCAGCAATCTGCTTGCTTAAAACAGATCAAATTATTCACACCTCAAAAAAGAGTATCAAATCTAATCTAATATGGCTCAACACCCAGCCATTAGTCTGATGAGTTAGCACATAAATTCGGTCCGAAAGACAGTGATTCATAGAACAGATTTCGTCGAAACGACCATGGATTTGAACCGAAACATTTGATATTTTAAGACCTTAAGATTTCTGTGAAAGAATATGAGTTTCTTTGAACCAAATTGCCATTCGAAAAGAAAGAGTTATACTCGAAATAAACTTTCTAAATGTTTAGTTTTTCTGCTCCTGCTTCGTCGTAGTCTCATATGAGCATCTTCTGAGCTTCAGTAGAAGGATAAAATATTTTTTATCATAGCTCCTGAGGGAAACATTTTTTGAAAGGAACAACTACATCTCTCGTTATTTTTTAATATTTTCCATTTATTTTCTCAATTTATTCTCAAGTATCCCGATTTGAATAACACAACGTATCCGAACTTATCGAAGACAGTGTTTGTGATCTTCATGATTTTTGTGCCCATACTTTTATTGAATATGTTGATCGCTATGATGGGCAATACGTACGCACAAGTGATTGAGCGTTCCGAGAAAGAGTGGATGAAGCAGGTAAAATTTAAAAAATGGCTAGTGGATTATTCAAATTTATACAGAATCCTTTCCGACACGGCTTAGTGGGCCAAAATAGTAGTAACTTTGGAACGTGCTGTGCCACAGGCTGATGCGAAAAATTATCTGGAAGCCTATTCTATACCACTTGGGCCTATAGATGATTCCGGTTATGAGGTACGCGGTGTTATGGTTATCAAAAGCAAAGCGAAGACCAGAGCCAAGCAACGCAAAGGCGCTGTGTCGAATTGGAAAGTGAGTTCAATGCATATCTTGAAAACGGTAAAACGTGTATAAATCACCGTAATCTTGCAGCGTGTTGGACGCGTAACACTGAGTGCACTAAAAAAGCGCGGTATGACAGGTGAGCAAATGCGACGACTGATGTGGGGACGCGCCTCTATTTCCAGTCCGATTAAAATTACCAAAAAGAAGCTTAAGGATCCCTATAATTTAAACCCACAAAGTGATCTTACCAACGCTATGGATATGTTGTCTTTTGCTAACGATCCAGCCTCGAGCTCCGGTTTGCAACTACGCACTTCTCTCGCTGATACGCGTGCAGATGGTAAAACCACCACACAACAACAACAGCAGAATCAACAGCCTGCACCCGATCCCCTACGAGATTTGATCTTTCTCGCTGATCGGCGACCTGAAGTACATGATCCACAATACTTTGTAGGCCTACAACAGTTGGCCAATAAAGCTTTGGATTTGGTGGAGCAGACAATGGGTATGCATCCGATACCGACTCCAGCCACCAATGCATTGCTCTTGTCAGCAGCAGCCGCTACAACAACCGCAGGCGCTGTAACGATACAAACAGCAGGCACGGTTGGTGCAACCACATCGATAACAACAACAGCAGCAACCACTAGTGCCGCAGCAGCAGCAGTAGCTGCGCCAACCGACGACTTGGTTACGCCGCTCAGCTCAAACTTAACTACACTCTTCCAGGATCCAAAAGATGTTGTTGATCCAGAAAAGTTAGAGGAGTTCCTGAAAATGCTGGCCGACATCGAGACAGAGGAGAGTGATGGTGGTGGCAGACCAATTTTGGGCAAATTGTCCCTTTCGCGTCGGACGAAGAGCGCCTTGTCGAAGGCTCAAATTAAAAAGGAATCGATTAGCGGCAGTCCGCTCAAGCTCATACCATCAGTGTGGTCGCATAATTTACCACAGCCCGAAGAAGAACCGGTGAGTTAGAATGTAAGATTTACATTAAAAAGGAGTGAAAAGGAGATGCACTAAAAACGAATATTTGATACAAATAACTTAGGTCTATTATCGACACATATGGCCATAGTTACCAGTGGATTCTACAAGTAAAAATCTTACTTTTTTCCTTCTTGGAATCTACCTGAGTCTTTATATTCGAAACCGGATACACTTTGTAAGCTCTTAACGAGCTCGAAGTGTTCCTTCTATGTGTTTTTGAGAAAAATTCAATAGCGCATCGTTCTCCTCTTCTGTCGAGACATTGTCGGAAGAGACTGAAACTTGTAGCCTCACTTTAAATCTGAATCTGACGAGAGATTTATTTCCCGTGGTAAGGGTCAGTACAAAATACGGAGACCAGAGTTTTTTTTTCTAAATGAATTGGAATCCAAATTTCCTATATTTTATGGTACCTAACAAAGACCGTGTCCTCTTGATCATCAAAAATTAGAAGTCTTATCCAAGATATAAATAATATATTCAGAAAAGTGTCCAGTTTATGCGCCGAGTTCAAAGAATATAATACAACTTCAAGAGCACTCAAGACCCTTAATAAATTTCATTGGGTTAGCCTTGGAAAATACTCAATCAACCCAACTTAAAATAGATCATAGGTATTAATAACCTATTCTTCCTTCTATCGTTCGAGTGCTCGCGATTTTTCAATTGCAAAATCCCATTGTTCTCCATATAATCTCTTTTTAAATGCGAGATCTTTACCACTCATCATGCACTTTCTAACCTCATAACTTTTAGGAATTTAATTTTGTAGCCGCACTGGCCGAAGAGCATACATTAACCATCGAACAGGAAGCCGAGGTGGAAACGGAAACCGGCAATGAGCGTGACGACAGCGAAGACTGCCCAACCGTTGAGGAGGTGCATGCGACAATGAAGCAATTTCATCTGCGTAAGCGACAATACCAGCAGGATGATGCAGCACGACGCGCAAAAAGCGCACGCATCAAGCGTAAAAATAGGTCAGCAGCGATAATGAAACATTTGCAATGTTTTTCTATGCATTTTGATTTTGCTAGCTGTAGCAACAAAATTCACTTAAATTTCCCGTCATTTATTCTATACGCACAGAATTTCGCCCGAGCAGTCCCATGATGCGGACGACGGCAAATCAACACACCCACGAGGTGCCTCTGCGCCAGGCCGTAAGCAACCGGTGAACGAATGCTTATCACCGCCAGATCCGCTAGAGCCATGGAGTACGCGCGAATTGCAAAACATCAACAAAATATTAGCGCGAAAGTGAAAACGAAAGCGCACGCATACACACATTAAAATTGCGATATATGCATATCTACATACATATACATATGTGTAGTTGTAGTTGGAAATACAAAATTGCTGAAAACCGTTAGGGCGTTTATTTACAGCTTTTTGCACAGTTTAATTTTTGGTTTGGAAAATTTGCCAACGCCATAGGTGTTATTATTCGTGTATAACGGTGAAAATTGCAGTTTTAGCCGAAATGGTGGCAAAAAAGTGTATATTTTTGGTAATACAACAGCACTTGCATAAATTTATTTGTTTAAAAAATATATATATTTTAAGCGTAAACTGGGGAAAAACACACTTGCTTGTAAACGCTGGCTTATATGTCATACGATTTTGTTGTTAAAACAATACATGTATATGCACATACATATATACACTTTCATTTGTGCCAACCTAAAAACCTACATATATGTTATAACGGGTGCTTTTTTTTAGATGTGTGCTTTATAATGAGGCAGTACTTGTTTCGTAGCTGGTCTTTTAGAAAGCTGTTTGGTTTGCCATTTCATAATGAACAGACTTAATCCGTAGCAATGTTTGCGAATCGTGCAAGTTAATTACTAATGGTTCGGTTAGCGTGACGCTTCGCGCGCTGTGTTCATGATTCGGTCAACATAATCGCGAGTATTGAAGAAGACCCGTATGGGAACATACGTCATCGGGCTCAACAATTTAATGAGTGCCTATCCACTTTATGGAATATTTTGCGAAAGGTTTGGTTTGCGGACTTACAAAGTCCAACTCATGTAAGATTGGACGCTGAACAACCTTCAAGCTCATTGCACGTTCGGTGAAAGGGCCCAAAACAAGATCGCCAACGTTTCCGATTTTCACAAGAAATTTTTGTTTAGCGTCGAAGCTCAATTTTGATTGAATGGATACATCAAAAAATAATATGGCTGCATTTGCAGTAATGATAATCCACAAGTCATTCTTGGGACGCCGTTACATCCTCCAGAAGTCACTGTGTGGTGTGCTCTATGGGTAGAAGGAAACATTGGTCCACATTTCGTCAAAAGTTAAGCCGGTCATAAAGATACAATCAATGGAAAACATATAAATTCATGATTAATGATTTTTGTTGACCTGAATTTGAGGACACTGATGTGATCGACCTTTGGTTCCAATAAGGCGGCGCTAGATGTCATACAGCCAACGAAACAATCAATTTATTGAAAGAAACTTTTGATGAGCGTCGTAGGTCTGTGGCGTGCCTTCAAGGTCATGTGATTAAAAACAACTGGACTATTTTTGGTGAGGTTATTTGAAGTCGCTTGCATTGTAAAAGAATATTCGGCGCAATATTGCTGACACACGACCTCAATTGCTGAAAAAAGATTGGTCGAAAATTGGGTCAAATAAATTCGAGCCAGCCGCGGCTGTCACTTGCTCGATGTAATTTTTAAAATATAGTGCCTGAGACGTATTTTTATAAGAAAGCTGTCAATTCTTGCCCATGACAATAAATTATATGCGTAATATTTCTTCTTGAAAACTGCATGCCTATAAAAACACCCTTTATTTACCGCTCACGTGTAGTATTTTCTAGTTGTACTTGCTCTCAAAATCGCTACGCTCAAAACTTTTTAATTAAATTTCTGCACACAAACAAAGAGACAAAAAAGTTCTTAATTAAATTTCTTGTCTGTCTCGTCCGCGCTGTTGCCTTAGAAGTGCGTATGCAAATAGGTGTAATTGTGGAGATTCTCACAGATTTGCCAGCAATTGTCGCATGCGAGCAGAACTTGTGCGTGTATGCGTGATTTCTAAGCTGATTTGCGCACCGTCGAAGGCAAAGTGAAAATAATTTGCTTTCAATTCTGCAGAATTTGCTAAAAATAAGACACATATTTTCTTCTATGCTTTCTTTCGAGCATTGAAGCAGAACAATTTGCAATCGCAGGCGCCATTATTTGAGTCACACATTTTTTTTTTTTTGGTGTTTAAAAATATGCTCTTCAAGAGCACTAGAGGGCTGTGTGAAGCTTGCAACGCCTAGCGACTACGTTTTTTTCCGGTTTGTGTTTTTTATATTTGCCGAAAATTTAATTTTGCCGTCGAATTTACATACTTTTATATAAATGGCTAAGTGTGTGTGTTGAAATTGCGCTGGAGATGAGCAAGAAATTTAACTTAAATTATTTGGTGGATTTGCCGAAATAATTTTTATTTTACCGATTTTTTTCATTTATCTACTTTCGAATAACATTTTTAAATTTTTATATTTTTTTTTTTTTGCTATAAAATTACAAAAAAAGATTTTTTTTCGTTGTTTCGCAAGACACACACCCTAAATCGCTTCAATATTTAATGTTGTATTTCAGTATACCCTGAACAGAAGGAAATCTCGACGACCGCATAGAAATATAGTAAAGAAGGAATCAAATGATATCATTTAGTGTTATGGCCAAGAATTTAGCTGTCGTCCAAATCAACATCGTCCAATTCAGGCAGAAACAAATTAATAATTATGGCTCTAAAGCGTTCTTCAGTGACTGTAACATTATGGCCGTCTTCATTTTTGAAGAAATATGGACCATTGATTCACTCAGGCCACATTGAAATTCATAGCTATCGATCAACTAGTTCATGGTGTATAACGGGATAATCAGGAAACATTTACTGATAACACCAAAGATTGTATTGATGAGTGTTATTCAGGCTCCTCGCATACGAAACAACCACTTGTAAGTTGTGTGCTGAATTCCGAACAAGTCATATGATCACCTACAAAATACTTTGGACAGTCGCAAAATTAAGATGAACACTGGCATATTAATTATATCAAGGAAGGCAAAAGCTTTGTGTAAAATGGGTGTCGCGCGAGCTGCAACAAAATTAGTACCGAATATAGCTCCTAGTAACCTTTTCTAACCTCAGATTTCAAGCTATTGCGAGTTGAAAAGAATATTATGGTTTATTTGGTAAGAGAAAAGGGTACGAGGCCTCTTTTCAACCAAGAGACAAATCCTACACAAAAAATCTTTACAATCGGGCGATTGATAATGAAAGATTGCTAGTATTGCATCAAACAATTTTGCAAGGTATTATTTTCCGTAGATTAGAAGATAGTACTCATCCAAATAGTGTAATCGCAAATAACTTTAAGCATATACTCGGCTGAATACATCTTCGTTTTAGTAGTACATAAAAGGCATCATCTTTTCAAGATTAGAAAAACAAAATATGGCTGAAATATTGGAGATTCTGTTATGCAGGTTTATGTATTTATACTGATATTGTCATTTTAAAATTCGCTCAAAAATATAAAATATGATCGCTTTGATTTGGATCCTAGCCTATATGATAGGCTCTCTATATATAGCTAACATCAGCACGATAATCCCGAAAAGCCATACTGGACTGGTTTATAGAAATGAACTCCGACATTTTCTGATTTTGCGTCACCAGAATTCACCATGACGTAGAGGAAAGTACATGTTGGATGACAAGTTTCTGCTCTCGAAATGAAAAAATAATGTTTTTTGTACGATATATATTTTTATATTCAATATAATCTCCTTAACTTCAATACATATATTCCAAGGATCCTCCAATAATTGTATGCCATCCCTATATTGACTAACTATATTGATATACCGGAAGCTCGGCAAAATATCTGTCTACGGCTGTAATAGCTACTTCGAAAAACGCCTTCCACGAAGGAATTGTTTCAGTTTTCTGAAGAGGTTGTAGCCGATGGGAGCCAAATCTGGTGAATACGGTGGAAGCTCAAGCAATTCGTGTTTTGATTTGTTGAATTTTGTCATTGTTAAAACTCCTTTGTGAGCAGGTGCAGGAAAAATGATTGTTTTGTGCTGCAAACCAAGACTTTTCGCAGACATTTTTTCATCCAGCTTATCCAAAAAGCTGAAATGATATTCCGAGTTGATTATTTTACCTTTCTGCAGATAATCAATCAACAAAATTAATTTTGCATCCCGAAAAACTGATGCTATAACCTTCTTTGCTGATCGTTGTGACTTCACCTGCTTTGGAGCTGAACAACCAGCTTAATTTAATCTCTTGGTATTCAATTTTTCTTTATCAAAAAAATACTCTGACACGTCAACTTCAAATGACTTGTAAGCAAAGAATTAAGTGTCAGAATGACTTGAAACTTAGCATGTGTTCTCGCGACAGATGTACCAAGTTGAGAAAAAAATTTGGAGCTAGTATTGCTATTTCTTTGTGAAAATAAAAAAATTTCAACCAACCTGTACTCTGGAGTAGTAGATAGTGATTGGGGTTCTTATATAACCCAGTTTAACAAAGATAACGCTTAGAATAAACCTTAACTGTCAAACATTTATGTAATCAGAAGATTCTTAAACATTCATAGATCCCGGGTCTCAGCTTAAACTAGGTACATTTGGGCTTATGCAGTTTTAAGTCCTTGTGTAAACGCCACTCAACAAACGGCCGTGTGGGATTAAAGAAATATTTCATTAGCAATACTCATTCACCTATTCTATAAAAAGCTCGAAAATTCCCAGAAGTCTCCACATGCAAATGGAAACGAAAAACAACAGCGCTCTATCGATTTGAGCTAATCTCACCACTGAATAATACAAAATAAATGACAATTGTCCACCACGTGTGTGTGTTAGTGTGCCAAACTGACCTTGTCACACACAAAACTGACAGTAATCCACAAGCGCCACTATGGTGGCCAAGTCAACTGGGTCACATGAGAACGTGACTCGTGAATAGTTGCCAACACACAAAACAAAAAAAAGTAGAACCAAAAACCAGAAAAACTTTTGATGTGATTTAATGCAACAAAGGGAAATACAAAAGCGAAAGTGCAGAAGAAGTGAAACAGCAAACTAAATTACATAATGACAAATGAAGAACAATCAATCGATGTGCATGCACGAATGTATTTATATCTGTATGTCTGTCCGTATGTCGTAAGCGTCGATAAATTGCATTTGCGATGATTTGTACCACTTTTTGCTGAGCGCCATCGAGGGCAAAACAACGCTAAAAAACAATAAAAAGTGACACAAAACTTTTGTAAAACATTGCAGCACTTTCGATTGCATGATGCATGTTGCATGTTGCATGTCAAAAT